AATAGCAATATTATGTGTCATATCTAAAATATTTGAAAAGGTCATGTATGAACAACTCACTAATTTCCTCACACAATTTAAAATCATGAAGGACAACCAATACGGTTTCCATAAAAATAAATCAACAACTCATGCAGCTTTTGACCTAGTAAATGAAGTTATGTTAAATGTAAATATGAAATACTATACAACAGTAATATTCCTCGATATGTCTAATGCTTTTGACTGTGTTTTTCATAAAGTACTATTAAAAAAACTGGAATGTTATGGATTAACGGGTCCTGTATTAAACTGGTTGGATTCCTACTTATCTAACAGAATGCAATTCGTAGAGATACCACAGATTGACAAAAAAATACAATTCAACTTTACAGATCTAAACCAAAACATAATAAATGTGGCGTTCCTCAAGGCAGTGTTCTAGGCCCTTTGTTGTTTTTGCTGTACAGTGGCGGACATTAGCGCTCTTTCACTTCGCATCGATATTTGCATGAACATGCAGTGTTTACTACGCCCCGCCCACATACTCACTACTACCAATAACAATCCACTGTCCCTCAGTGACGTGTGCAAGGATGCGTACTATATACTATATATCTATATATCCTATTGTTTGTAATTGTACGTTTAATCTAATGTTTATTGTAATATGTATTTATGTGATTAATTATTATATTTTAGTGTCGTATGTGCATGCGCCGAATAAATGAATTTGAATTTGAATTTGAGATGATCATAACTTTATAATTATGGCCAAATACTTAGTTAATATTTATTTTATTAAAGATTTATTTTTCTTAAATTCTTAATAGGCAGTTAACTATTTTTATTTAGTGTGTAAGGGGGGGTGTTCTTACAATTGGTGCCATGTGACCAGGATGTGAGGTCTCAAGTATTGTGAGAAGTAGGAGTATCCTGGGGGCGTCAATTTATTCTTGAAGACTGCATATTTATTTAAATTTGGTTTCACTTAATTTTGGTTTAAGAACACTAACAGTGCTACTTATAAACGTGGTATAAAATGTTATACCGAGAATTAGTGCAGAATACGCAAAATGTCAACTTATAAACTCGGTGTAACTTATGCTTAGCATAACCTGGATGTAACGTTCTAACAAAACTTATTCCACCGATATTCCGCCTGTCACCTTAGTATAACTCTGGTGTAGCAACGCATTTGTCAAAAAACATTTTGATATTGTTGATGCTTTATTGGTATTTACCAAATATTTACCGTATTAGATAATTTTTAATAATATTGAAACGTGTGTTTATTGAAATATGGCGTTTAGACAATACAAGAAGTGGAAGAATTTAAAAATCTGATCAATCGATCGCAAATGTTTAGGACGAGAAGAAAATCTAAAATATTAAGAACTAGAAATGATCCCTTTCTTTTGTACAATGACGACGAATTTCGTATAAAATATCGTTTTTCCAAAGACGACGTCTAGTTTTAGAACGTTTATTTGGCAGTGAACTATATTGCAGATACTGATAGCATTGAGATACTACTTTTAGTTGCCATTTTGATATTAGTTTATATTTGACTTAATAATTTACAATAACTTCCACAAAATCACCCGCGTCTTGTTCAAGAAATAACCACATGTAACGTCAATCAACCAAACGTCAAACTTAGTGATATTTGACACTTCAACCGAATTACAGACAAAATACTTTCTTTTTTTCGATTTTGTCTATTAAATGCGGCGTTGCCGCTACGTGCATCGAACATAAGGGTGGAATACTTACGCCGATAATATACCATGTTTATAAGTCAAAAGATATTCTTCCGTTATTATGAGCATATACCGAGTATAACTATTGAATAACCACAGTTTAATTAATTTTTATAAGTAAGGCTGTAAAAGTCTAATAATTATTAAATTTTTACTGGTAGGGTAGTGCTTATGTGAATACTAGTTTCATTAGTTTTTGATTATTAATAGGTAAATAAAAGTAAGACATTAATTTTAAATTATAATATGAAATAATCTTAATTTAATTCCGAAGATAGCAATTAATTCACTATAATAATTTCATTTGATAACAAACAATTCACTTTAATTTGCTTTCTTCAATATGTGTGCATGCCTTGTATTTTAATTTCCATGTTTTATTTAGTAAACTAACATTTTCTCTTGCAGGATGTACGACAAAAGATTTATTTAAATATCCACATCTTTTATTTCATATATCTCTAATTTATAAGATTGTGCTTTATACTTTATTTTGTGTGTATCTTTTCTTTTTATTTTAATTTCTGTGTTTAATTATGTGTACATGCCTTGAGTTTGTTTTTTTTTTCTGTGTATATTTTCAGTTGCTCTTCTTAGTACGGCCAAGTAATATTTGGCCACACCATTGTCACATGAGTTTGTGTGATCGGTAGTAAGATATTCCATCCTGCTTACCTTTTCCTTCTTTATCCGTTTGTTGTCCTAGGTCTTATGATAACAAGCATTCTTATGTATTTATATATCTATATACATTATTAGGTATACCTAGGGCTAGGTTAGTCTTCTGATAGAGTGCTAAGCAAATGTATTAAGAATATAGTAATTCTATTATAGGTTTTAGGTGGATAATGCACTCAGGTATAGTGATAAATATGCTCGTGATAGGTTTAGGTTCACAAGGCAATTTAGTAGCAATATCTTGATAGGTTAGGTTATCAAAGTCGGAAAATTATGTAGGCACAACATAGGAATCGCATGCTTATTTTTACATGCTATAGCATTTGTAAGCTCAACGTAATTACGTAACTGTAAACAAAAGAAAATAGCTTTTAAATTACGTCAACAAGATGGTAAATACACAAATGACCAATTACTCTGTTGAGATCTACAACTTTACACAAAACACGATACATGTTTATTGTTGGAAATAGTATGTATTGCAATGCATTATTACAAAATTTGTAATTGTATTATGTTACTAAAGTTACGAAAAAAAATTAGGAATCTCGCAAAATAAATAATCTTTTGGAATAGAGATGACGGTTTTATAAATCGATAATTGAATTGATTTTATGTTGAGTGACTAAATCGAGTTACCGATTAGAAAGCATAAATATACCTATTTTACTATTTAGCAATAAACTGAGATTTTTATTATAAATGCTAATAATTATTATTATAATTGTAATTTCAATGGGTAATTATAGTCTGCTTTGTTACATATATGTATGGTAGCGGGTATGTCTGGCGATGTGTATGTCAGGCTACGAGTATGTGTGGCGACGTGTACGTGTGGCGACGTGTACGTGTGGCGACGTGTACGTGTGGCGACGTGTACGTGTGGCGACGTGTACGTGTGGCGACGTGTACGTGTGGCGACGTGTACGTGTGTCGACGTGTATGTTTGGCGACGTGTATTTGTGGCGACTTGTAATTTTGGATCGATTCCTGTATTCGTAACAGACTTAAGATACCCGGGGGCGACGATTATGCTATTATTAATTAAATTTTAAGATACCCGGGGGCGACAATTATGTTATTTGGGAATGAGCAATTTGCAATATATCGTCTAATAACATAGCTAACTACATAATTCAATTGAGCAGTAGAATAAGTTAATCAAATAGAATAAATATGATTTAAATGTACATATTGTTTAAAATAAACTGTACTTCTTTTAGGGTTCCATACCTCATTGTTGGTTCTTCAGTTTGTCTGCTCATCCGTCCATGTCTGATCGTCCGTCTGTCTGTCCGTCTTTCTAAGGTTAATTAAATTATAATGGTGTGAGGATCGTTACGAGGATGAATAAGGATTTAAAAGAGGGAGACTTGTGGTTCGATCCACATGGAATAATTGTAATAATTTAATTAACGTGATAATATTCATAAAGTGTGTGCTTCAATCCCTATACGAAATGATTTTAAAGATGTTTTCAAGGGAAATAATTTAAAGGATATTTAGTTTTAATGAAAGGTATGGTTCGATTCCTACCCGGTATTGGAATGGATCTTTTGACATAATTTGATTTAAACCATGTATTAAAAATATTAAATCTTGTTAGGAAAATGTTAGTTATAATGTTATTATTTGAAAGTTAGTATTGTCCTTTCAAGGGTAACTTTTCGATAAAATGTATGATTTTTTTTTTATCGTGTCATGGTTCCTAAAGATAAATCTATTCTCAGAGAAAACAATTCAAGATTAATAACTATTGTAAGCAATTTCACAACTGTGTTAGTATTTAATCATTATTTTCATTAGTTTGAGAAACACTGTATTGACTTTCGTAGTACTTGATTATGTCACAACCGGCCCCACTCCGATAGAAGCGGGGACGGAGCGACGGCTAGGCTCATCGCTCCGTCCACTCGGACATTCTGTTAAAGACCTCCGTACGGGTCGGTCGTTAGAAAACTACTATCGTTACGCTGCTACTTTTTTTTATAAATTAGAAAATATTCTTTTAAGAAGTGATTTGTGATTGGACTGTAAAAGTGGTGAATTATTAGATTAAAAATATTATTAAAGCAAGTGTTGTAGTTTTACTTCTGGAACGGTTCCTACAGTTTCAGAAGTGGGATTTATCAAGGATAATTAATTACCTTGATAGTCGCTGCGCCCGCATTCACGTAAGTTATTCAATTTTTTTTTTGTCTTTTTTTTTTATCTTTTGCAGTAGACATACACTAATATCCGCTTTATAGCTACTAAAGTAACGATAATTAACAATTGTTGGAGTGATATTATATCTTGATAGAAATAATCTCTCTTTTTTATGATTTTCATTTATAATTACATCTGTGCTAGACTACTATTTTAAGTAAATTGAAACTATAATACAACGGTAATAGCCCCGTTTGTTTCTACCACAGTTCCTTTATGGCCTCAAAATAGCAATACAAACTAATAAATATTTAAAGACTTAAATAGTTATTTTTTTTACTTAGTATCATGTTTATTAGGCACAAAACAATTTCAGTGTCAGCAATAGAAGAGAATTTTAACTATTACCGCGACCGAAGGCTTGTGGATATTATGAATAACCTAGGAGCACCTGGTACAGGTCGAGGTAGGGACCTAGGAGTACCCAATCAGACGGGTCAAGGTCAGTATTCTCATATGTCTAATACAGACCTAGGAGTACCCCAGCAAGAGGGTCGAGGTCAGTATCTAGTTATCCCTGATCGTGAAGGTCAAGGTCTTAACCTAGAAGCACCCAACTATGAGGGTCGAGGTTCTGACCTAGGAATGCCCGATCGTAATGGACAATGCCACGACGCAGGAGTGCCCGGAACATCAGGCCGGCGAGATTATTCAAGTTCGAGACAGAATTATGAGCGTCCCGCAGATGATGATCTACGGTCGAGACAAAATAAAAGAAGAAGACGCTACAACTCTTCACCCGAAGAGTCTGATTATATCAGACACGATCGTACAAGTAAGCGAAAACGTTTATATTTCTTTCTTATGTGAAAGACGTATTTCGATTGCTCAGTGATTTTAATTCAAAAGTGGTGGAAAGAAATAACTGTTCTGCTCAATGTTATATACCACTGTGAAGACAAAAACTCAAGCTTTAATTTGGTACTAGTGGTTACGCTGAATACTTAAGGACTAGTGAGTTATTCTGAAATATCTTTTTAAAATTGTCGTTGGCCGTGCATTGTTCCTGACCGAGGGCAACCCGTGGCCGGCTCGCTTCTACGCACACAACCGCATTGTGTACAGTGATTGCTTGTGCACCTACACGCTACAGCTGCTAAAGCGCTAACATCGCTTGATTGCACTATACATTGTTTTATGTTAATTAAGATACTCAAATAAAAATGGCACCAAACGAGAACAAATGCAAAGGATGCCGTCATAATATAACTACTAAGGAGTTATTGACGTGTTTTGCGTGTACTTCTAAATACGACTTACTGTGCGCAAATGTGGGTTTAAAACGTTTTAACTTAATGGATAAGGAACAAAAGCTAAACTGGAGGTGCCCTGAATGTCGCAGTCAGCTACCTAAGACAGACAATACGAATACGCCAATACGCCTACCCTCGCAATTAGTCCATACAAGTACTATCAGTGATGCCTCTGTTTCTGACGACATCGAAACGAGAAATGTTACTCAACGATCAAAACCGAAAGAGGATATCACAAAAAAATACATTACAGAGGAGTCGCTTAGAAAGATAGTGCAGGAAGAACTGTCATGCGTATTTGAAGAAAAACTAAATAAATTGATTTCTGAACAAATTAAAACTATTAACATTCGTTTTGCTGAACTCTCCGAGTCTATATCGTTTTTCAATAAACAGTATGAAGAATTGAAGACTATTGTTGAGGGGAAGACTGTTATAATATCCGAGTTGCATAAAGACAGTGATATTCTAAAATCAAGCATTAAAGATCTTTCCCACAGACTCTATTTGGCTGAACAAAGTATGAGAGAATCAAACTTGGAAATAAACGGAATACCGGAAAACAGAGCTGAGAATTTATACAACGTTATCTCTCAAATATCAAAAACTGTGAATTGCCCCATCGAAATGAATGATATAAACCATATTTCTCTTGTTGCAAAGCTGGATAAAGAAAAGAATCGCCCAAGAACCGTTATTGTAAAACTACGCAGTCCTCAGCACCGCGACCGTTTTTTGGCTGCTGTTGCTAAATTCAACAGGAATAATCCAAAAGACAAACTTTCAACACTTCATCTTGGTATGGCCGCCCCTGTGAAACCAGTATTTGTTGCTGAACACCTGACACCTATAAACAAATCATTACATGCTGCTGCTCGCCTAAAAGCGAAGAAAGAATCTTTTAAGTTTGTTTGGGTTCGCAATGGCCGTATTTTTGCCCGTAAAGACGAATATAGCCAGGCCCTCATAATACGTAACGTCGAAAGCCTTGACTTAATTAAATCCGAACACAGATCCTAAGTATTATGACCATGGGCCCAATTGAGATATATTACCAAAACGTGCGTGGATTAAGAACAAAAACTAATGAGGTTTCCCAGCAGATCCTAGCAAACAGATACGATATCATAGTATTTACTGAAACCTGGTTAAATTCAAATGTAAAAAGCGAAGAACTTTTTGATTCAAGATACACTGTTTATCGTAGGGATCGTTCTTGTTCCAAATCAACTAAGTCGGATGGTGGTGGTGTTTTGGTTGCTGTATCACGACACATTCCCTCTGTCTGTGTAGAGCAATGGGAAAGCAATTGTGAGGATTTGTGGGTTTCAATTAAAATAAAAATAAACAATAATATTCAAACTATTGCCATCTGTGCTGTCTATCTCCCTCCACCAGTAAAATTAAACACTTTAACATGTTTTCTAAATAATGTTAATGATATCACAAACCATGTTGATAATATTATTCTGATGGGAGACTTTAATTTGGGTTCTATTAATTGGATTAAAAATGATAATGATTTTAACCAAATGGTTCCCTCAAACTATAATTCTTTAATGGAACATTCACTTGTAGATTTTTTGTCCATTAATAATTTAAAACAGTTAAACGGCGTACCCAATGCTGATGGGAGATTTCTAGACCTTGTAATAACTAATATGCAACACGGGCTAGTATTGGAACCACTTGATTTGTTAAGTAAATTGGATCCTAAACATCCTAATTTGTTGTTTACTGTACAGTCTCCGACTCTAACCTATCTTCGCCCAAAAGAGCGACAAGGTTTCAACTATTTTAAAGCAAACTACAAAGAAATAATTTCAGACTTGGAATGCGTGGACTGGTATGGTAAATTTCAATATTGTATTGGTGTTAATGAAATGGTGTCTGTATTTTATAAGGAGCTTGAGAAAGTGATTGAGAAGTCTGTGCCTAGGCGTAGTGTTAGGAAATCTAAATACCCTAAATGGTTTAATTGTGCTTCAATTAAGCTTTTGTCTGAAAAGGATAAATTACGTAGTAAATACCGAAAATACGGCAATCCCCGTGATAAATTGGAATTTGAACTATTGCGTGGCCGCTGCAATAAACTTTTGGATCAATGTTACAGAAACTATAAAAATAAAATTGAAAACAACATATTAAATGACATTCAATCTTTTTGGCGATTTGTTGGACAGAAGCGTTGTGGTCTATCAACTTTACTATCAAGAATGAAACTAAATGATATTACTGCCAACTCAGGCTCTGATATTGCAAATCTTTTTGCCCGACATTTTGCTTCAGTCTATACTTCAAATAATTTAAATTCTTTTCATGTTCACAATGAGTCACCGCATATTAATTTATCTGCAATACATATTACCGAGACCGATGTAGCGAAAAAAAATAAAAATATCGATCTTCATAAGGGACCAGGTCCAGATGATATACCTCCCATTTTTATTAAACAGTGTAAATCTGTTATAACTTTACCACTTACCTTGATATTCAATCGCTCCTTGCGCGATGGTGTATTTCCTGATCAATGGAAAAAGGCTAAAATTCTTCCTATACATAAAAAAGGTGAACTAATCAATGTAAAAAACTACCGTCCCATTTCTATATTATCAATATTTTCAAAATTGTTCGAGTCCTTAGTGTACCCTGTATTAGTACGACAGATAGATGGTGCATTATCAGATCATCAGCATGGATTTAGACGTGGCCGATCCACTCAAACTAATCTTGCCGCATTTATATCTGAGGTTGCGAGGGATCTGGACTGTAACAAACAAACAGATGTAGTATATACAGACTTCAGTAATGCTTTTGATAAAGTCAATCACTCCCTGTTGTTATTAAAGTTAAAATAACACGGGATTAATGGAACACTGCTACAGTGGTTTGACTCTTACTTAAACAATAGACCTCAACAAGTAGTTATCAATGGGTTTTCATCGCAACACTATCATGCAACGTTAGGAGTCCCACAAGGTTCTCATTTAGGACCTATACTTTTTCTTATCTTTGTGGATGACATCACTACACAAATCAAATATAGCAAATTCAGTCTTTTTGCTGATGATCTTAAGATATACCGGAATGTTGATTGTTTTCAAGACATGCATCTACTTCAAGAGGACTTAGAGAGTATTGGTAATTGGTGTATATCTAACCATATGAATTTAAATGTCGACAAGTGTTATCATCTTAAAATTACGAAAAAAAAGAAATTATTTCAATCCCATTATAGCATAAATGGTGTCGTTCTATCAGAAGTGGATAGGATACGTGACTTAGGCGTTATTGTTGATAGAAAACTTAACTTTATCTCACATGTTGACACAGTAGTAAAAAGAGCAGCCGGATTGCTAGGATTTATCAAAAGAACAACGAAAGGCTTCCGATCTATTACGGTTAGAATTATACTTTACAACGCTTTAGTTAGAAGCATACTAGAATATGCAAGTGTAATATGGAATCCCATTTATGCAATTCAATCTCAACGTATTGAAGCCATTCAACGCTCTTTCACCAGATATCTAGCATTTGTGTCATCCGGTATATCGCACAAAACTCCTTATGACCAAAGATTATTGTTCTTCAACATTCGCTCTCTACAACAGCGGCGTACTATCCTTGATCTATCGTTTCTGCATGGGCTTCTCAATGGATCTGTAAATTGTAACCATCTCATGGAAAGTGTCTCACTAAATGTTCCCTCCCGTATCCCTCGTCAGCCTATACTTAAAACTTTTGCTTTACCTACAATCAGGACAAACGTGGGTCGCAATGCTCCACTTTTTCGTTGCTGTGAGAAGTATAACTCACTTAATACAAATAATGCTGAAGTGATCGATATTTTCCACGACTCGTTACCTGAATTTAAGAGCAAGATTCTCCAATTGTTAAGTTGTCGTAGTGTTGAATAAGATGTACAAATATTGAAAACTTTTGTATTTATATACTTGATTAATTTATTAATAGTGTAATCACGTCATTGTTCCTACAGTAAACGTTGTGTATGCCAGTAATGGGTATATATATAAGAATATTTAAATTTAACAAATAATAATTTTCAATGTATCATATATATACTGTTGGTGTACCTTTTCCAAATAAATAAATAAATAAAACGTTTAAATAGATCTAAGAGTAGGCAGAACGAATCAGATATTTTAGATAAGTTTTTGTCAATCTTAAATAAAGTTAGGAGCTTGGATAAGCCCCGATTAACCTTTAATACGAACGTCATTCCTGAGTTTGACCCTATGTCAAAGGAACAGACTATTTTAACGTGGTTAACGAAGGTAGAAGAATGCGCGGAAATATATGGGTGGGAGGATAAAGAGACGATCCATTATGCTTTACCAAAGTTAACCGGGGTAGCAAAGACATGGTACCAAGGGTTGCCTTCTTTACTGTTTTCATGGACTGAATGGAAGAAGAAGCTAGTAGAGTCTTTCCCCTGTCGTGAAGATCACGCGGAGCTCCGAACGGAAATGTTAAATAAGAAAGTTAGATATGGCGAATCTCTGGAGCACTATTACTATAGCAAGGTAAACCTTTTAAATCGGTGTAAAATATATGGGAAGCAAGCGGTAGATTGCATACTTTATGGTGTTGAAGATAGGGCCGTTAAGGTAGGCGCTCAGGCTGCCCAATTTTCAGAGCCAGAGCAAGTACTTAAATTCTTCAGGACTGTGAAGGTTGGACAGGTTAGGGATAATTCAGAATTTCGTTCACGAGTTGATCGAAAAACCGTTGTAGCTCCGAGGGCAAATACTTCTCGTGAAACGTTAGCAATTCTTTAAAGTGTTTTAATTAAAATTTCGATGGTCTGATTTCTGCAACATGAGTGACGTTGATGTCCTGGTGGACTCGTTTACCCGTTGTATCGTGAACTTTTATGATCTCCATGCCCCAATAAAGAAACGAAAGTTCAAGCACCCTCCTCACCCATGGATAACAGACACTATTAAATCCATGATGTATATTCGAGACAGCTATCACAAAAGATATAAACTACGTAAAACTATGGCCCTAAAGGAATGTTACAAAAAAATGAAACAACTTGTCATAGCTGCAATAGAGAGTGAGAAAAGATGTTTTTTTGATAAGAGTATTAATTGTAATATAAACAATTCCAAAAAACTATGGCAAAATTTAAAAAATACAATTCTACCTAATAATCGGGTTAGCTCTGATATTCCAGCTCATTTAGATGACCCCAATGCTTTAAACGCATACTGTCTTGATGTGCCTGGTAGTAACAAAGTGACAATATCCAACCTTACTTTCTTTGAATACAACAGGCACGGCATCTTTCTACTGCAGACTGTCAGTGAAGATACAGTTTTGAAAGTTGTGAGGGGTTTTAAGTCGAACGCTCAAGGTAATGATGGCATATCTTTGGAAATGTTGCAACTGACCTTACCTCAATCATTGGAGACCATCACCATGATAATCAACAGATCGATAGAGGAATGCACTTTTCCGAAAAGTTGGAAGGTTGCGGTGGTAAGACCGATACCAAAAGTTGATCACCCAGAGTCAGTGCAGGACCTTCGGCCCATTAGTCTCCTCTCATGTGTTTCTAAGATTTTGGAGAGGATAGTCTGCAATCAACTAACTGAGTACTTAGAAGAGCACAATATACTTCCTCAATCACAATCTGGATTTCGGAGAGGGTATGGTACTGCAACTGCTCTAGCGGATGTCGTCGACAATCTCCTCACCAATCAAGACGATGGGATGATCAACGCCATGCTGCTGCTTGATTTTTCACGGGCATTTGATTCCATTAATACAACTCTACTATTGTCAAAGCTGTCATACTATGGACTCCATGAAAAAACAGTAAAATGGTTTCATAGTTACCTTTCGCATAGGCAGCAGTATGTCGAGTTAACGAATGCAGATGGGTCAAAAATTCAATCATCT